AATAGTATTATTATTTATGTAGGTGGCATGGTGGCATAAATGGTAGAGCTGGTGCCTCTCAGCGAGAAGGTCACAGGTTCAAATCCTGGTCGGGGACCTTTCAGGGTGGAGTTTGCATGTTCTTTCCGTACATGCATAAGTTTTCTCTGGGTACTCTGGTTTCCTCCCACAGACCAAAAACATGCATGTTAGGCTGATTGGTAACTCTACATTGTCTCTAGGTGTGAATGAGAGAGTGAATGGTCGTTTGTCTCTATGTGGCCCTGTGATGGACAGGAGACCTGTCCAGGGTGCACCCCGCCCCTCGCACAGTGATGAATGGATATGGACACCAGTGATCCTCACGACCCAAAAAGGAAGAAGCGGGTAAAGATAATTGATGGATGGAATGGAATGGAATGGATGGATATTTTGCTCTTGTCATTCTTTAACACACCTCAGTGTGGTTACCCATCAACACACAAGCTTTTCATTTTGTAATTATAACCTCAGTTTATGTTCATTAATTTGTCTCGCCTCACTCTTCGTTCCACCAGATTTAGATGATGCTGTTCATTAACTCAATTCTGCTGATGTTGATGACACGCTGATTTCTATACATTTATATAGCACAAAAAGAACAGGTGTCGTCAATCAAAGTGCAATACACAAGCAACCTATTACAACAATAGTTGTGTCAATTTCCAAGCTATATTTAAAACCACTGAGTACAAATGTGTTTAAGATTTGTCTTGAAGCCTGTGTGTTATAAAGGGACAGCTGGTTCCATAGTTTAGGACAGGACTATTCAACAAAGCTGCTCAGGGGGCCACAGTTTCTGAAAGCCAACAGCTCTGGGGCCGGACATCCAGCGATTAAAATCATTACATAAATAAACCAAAGTTTAAAATGAACTGTTACCTTTTAATTTGTTTATTTTATTGCATTGAATCATAAATGCAATAGCCAGAACCCCAAACCCAACCCCAGAGCCCACCCACCCGCAAAAAAACAAAATAAATGATTGAAGTCACTCGCGGGCTGGAAATGACCCGTGGGCCTCCAGTTGAATAGCCCTGGTTTAGGAGCTTCGACTGAAATTCAGGTAATTAATTCACTTGAATCAGTGTTTGAAAAGGCCGAGTAGAGATTCCTGAGGACCAGGACTGGGTAAAGACAAATATATACATGATATTAAAAATGTCAAATTCTGCTTTAACATTTTTCACCTTTTCTTTTAGTTTGGTTGAGAGCCTTTTGTGCATGAGATCTGCAGTTTTTCGATGCTCCAGACCCAAGTACAGTATTTTTCGGACTAAAAGGCTCACTTAAATCCTTTAATTTTCTCAAAAATCGACATTGAGCCTTATAATCTGGTGCACCTTATGTATTAATTCTGGTTGTGCTTACTGACCTCAAACTGATTTTATGTGATTATTGTGAATGAGTTGAATAACGTTTGACATCTGTTTTGTTTCGCTTAATGCACCTTATAATCCGGTGCGCCTTATAGTCCAAAAAATACGGTAAGTATTTTTCTCTCTAAAAGAAGCTGCTCTTCTACTTCCTATAATACTACTTAAAGCTTATTATTGTAACACAAGGTTTGTGTCCCTCATTTTATTTTATTAATATAACTAAACGTGTTTAATGCTTTTACGGTGGCTTCAAATCAACCCTTTCTTTGTATCTGACATTTTAATCAGTTGACAAATCAGAGCAGATCGAAACTTTGCCAGGAAGGACCAAGACTGAACATACAAAGCACATCAGACAGGAAGTTCCACTCAAAGTTTTGCATGTTTTTAGTTTTTTTTTAATTTTCCAATTTCAAGAATACAAATCCATTGTTCAAGTGGCTTCCAGTGTTTTTGACATGGTAACACAACATGTGTTCATCTGAGCGGGAATTCAACTTTATTCAGCTCGGTGGTGGAGCTTGGGTGGGCCGACAGTCTGCCCAGACATATAACAGCTACAGCACATCATGCCAGCAGTAGGATCACTGCAACCCTCCCCTCGTGCCGGGCTGTTCTTTTTTTTTTTTTACTCATGGCAGACAAGTGTTGTGGCAACAGCAGCCATAGTTACATTAGATTGTATATGTGTGTTTATGTGAGTGAGAGACAGTGATCGAGTCCAAATTAGAAGATTATATGAGGTGCATCAACAGAGATAGACCGATAGGAAGTTTACTTTAAAATATGCTCTGCTTTAACAACTTTTTCAGCTTCTTCTGAGATATTTTCATACTCACTGCTCACTTAAACAGATTTATGGTAAAAAAAAAAATGTGAATTTTGCATGCAGATTATTCAGAGACAACTTAAGAAAAGAGTCTTTAAATTTACCTAACGACATCGACACCACTGACAGGAGAAAATAATCGTGATGAAAAACATGCTTTTGTGTGGTTTTATTGTTCCGTAACAATTAAATAAACACTCCAATATAAGAACAGAAAAAAAAAAAAAAACTGATGGATTTCAGATGGACTTTACATCCATATAATATTTACATATAACTTTGAGTAGTTACCGTCAAATGAAATGAGATTTGCACAGAGCTGTGATAAATGCACTGCTGTTGCATTAGCATTGATTCCAGCTCATCAGGCTATAGGCTGCACCGTCCTAATCTAAGCACTCGCCATAGGAAGCAGACAATCAGGCTGCAGAGCTCGTTGTATCCATTATAAACCCATTATTTTGTACATAATGCGTCTGGCATCTGAAGCCTCTGAATATGTGTCACGTTACCTTCTTTTAACCACAACTAAAGACAAATTCTGACATTCGAGCGTTCTGACTTTTGTTTTTCTGCTCAGAAGCTTTTTTGTTTTAGTCAGGGTATTTCAGTTCAAACAGATTCGACGGTGTATTGAGAAACCAAACTGGTTCATCTTACTGGTAATGTGGGCACTTTGTGCATTTTTGTAAAACTCAGTTTGATAACCCACATCGTCCTGCAATATTAATATACATAATATAATATCATTTAATGTGTTTTGTTATGTGTATTGGATGATATTTTCCTAGATGAAATCAAATTGAGGGATAGCAAGAGAGAGAAAAAGACAAAAGTGTCTGAACTCCACCAAGTCATCGATCAAAACCAGTCCAAACGTAAAAAAAAAAGTGAATTTTAATGACAAATTTCACTTTAAAGGGAAACCGACTGTAAATGAAACCGTGTTGAGTCCCTGAACATTTAAACTGGGTCTGTTAAAAAAGTCATAAATAATCACAAACTATTGAAAAAAAACAAGTAATCTCTTTGAGAAGTCCATTTAGATGAAAACATAAACAACAGCTGACTGAATGGTTATTAAATGAGCAGAGGAGACGTATCCATTTAGATGGTTTTGGACAACAGCTTAACATTGTTTACATCAGCTGTGATAACGGGTTAACGACAGGTGACAAATAGAGCAGGAAACGAGATGCTCCCCCGTTTGTCATTCATTAGAGCTCGTTACAGGGTAGCTCATTAATATTCTCCACCAATCAGGCCAATTACATGTGAACTGGATTATATTCTACATGGCTGTGATTGGGTTGGTGCAGAGCTCTGCTGGTTGTTTCGGAACCAGTTGGAGCAATCGGCTGCATATGAACCCTGACAACTGTAAGAGATGTTACAGAGGAACTGGAAGAACGAATGAGCAGAATAGAATTATTTTTATTTTTCTATTTTCATCCCCTGCCACATGTGAAGGCGAAGCAATTATGGCTTTGCACGCCCATGTGTGTGTGTGTGTGTGTGTGTGTTCATTTGCCAGTACCATTTGCAACGTAGCTCCCAAATCATTCAACAAATTTAAATTTGAATGAAACTTTTAAAAAATCATTACTGGGTATAAAAACTGATTAACTTTTGGAGTCAACCCAATTTAAAATGAGTGCCATGGCTATTCAACATTCACTTTCACAA